ATAACTAGAAAGAGCTGAAGCCAAAAAGGACAAGCGCCCTCTAGTGGTCAGCTGCAGTAGTAGAATTTTAAGTCGACTGAGCCACAAGATAGGRTAAAAACAGGTTTCATGCTAAAGTAAAGGAAAAAAATAATCAGTCAATGTGTTTATTTACTTATTTGTAAGAGATTGAAACTATTTGCTGCATAACACACAGCAGGAAAAAGAGCATGATGTCGCCACTAAACTCTTTCAGGTTGACTTTTGGCGCTCAGTTTTAAGGTTTTGGCTCCATTCTCAGTTCGGTTTCCCGTAAAATAGCTTTTAAAACGCTGCTACGAATCATCAGCTGCATACAGGACAATACAGCAGCAGAMAAATACAAACTGCTTCATCAAGAGGTTCCTTTAGTGAGGTAATGTTGTGTAGTGGTCACCCTGGGTGGAATAAACCCAGGGTGACCACTACAGTTGCTTCAAACCTGTTTGAGTTAACTATCACAATTTAGGTAGTTTTACACATCTTTTATTTGATCTCTGCAGAGATCCTTTCAGTGGGTTCCTGATGACTTCACAGCCACCGGAGTTAATGCTTCACTCCGGCGGCGGCGCAAACGGCCAGAACTCCACATCGCCGTCCCGTTCCCCCTGAGCGGTTTCGTTTAACGCCGCCGCAAGAGCTACGACCCCGGCGTTTTGGCAATTGCGGCCGTGTAATAGAAGCCGTGCAATATATTTTTCCTTTGCTGGCGTTGGGTACGTGGGATGCGGAGCGAGAGCCATTTTCAAAGTGCTGACACAAGCGTCAGCGGTGGGGGCAGTCATTACGGAGCTGGCAGCGCCTCGACAGCCGTAGGAGCAACAGAGCAGCGAAGACGCTTGATTTCTGCAACTGTGATGATCTGCAGAGACTCCCTTTCTCTCTGTCTTCAGACATAAAATTAAAAGCAGCTTCCKCCGTCATGTTACAATCCAATAAATATTATGTTTGCATGAAAGGACCTGCTTGGGATAAGCAATAATAGGAAACTTCACTGAGCTGTTGCAGGCTATGACTTTGAGAGCAACTTTGGGTTCAGTGGTTTATTTTTTTTTTTCCAAGGACACTTCAGCATATGGAGGAGCTGAGARAAACCCGCAATTAAGAGCACAACCTGCTCCGCCATCTGAGCCTCAGCTGTTTCAGGTCAAAGGTTAAAGAAAAACAGACGGATAAACAAAACGCAGCAGGTGGTCGGTGGGTAACAATTAGGCCAGGAAGCTGTCATCGCTCAAGTATTTTCTCAATCAGGCAGCAAAGCCACCAGGAGCTAACGAGGTCAACGGGTTCACAAACCTGAAAACGTGGCTCAATAACAGCATCCGGAAACATGCAGGCCGTTTTTAAAGCTTCAGAAGTGTCGCTCCGTTACTGTGATGACAGCTGTCCAAACCACACTATGGAGAAGTCAATTTCCACAGACTTGAGGGATCTCTACATCACTCTCTCTGACACATTTGTGAAACTATATTTGGTGCACAAATGATCTATAAAAGCATCAATCATAGAGTCCCAGCTGAAGTCATTCACTCCTCTGTGCTGCAGTCATCAGAACAGAGCCGAACAACCAGCAGAAAATTTACATCCTGATCACCACAGTGTGAACAGTGAGACAATTCACCTTCTAGTGAGACTTTAATAAACAGACCTTCATGAATTTAGTTTAAGGTGGAGCTTCAACAACAGAAATCATGATT